ACAGAGGGGTTACAATTACATGGGCAAGATAATGAGTACATTTCTTATCAAGCATTGTAGCCTCCTCCTTTGTTTCCCCTTCCCATCCCATCCTCCCCCGGCCCCCCTCCCAACCCTCCTCCCCCTCTCACTGGACCCATTGCAACAAAGAGACATACAAGTCGTATGTCGAAAACAGAATCCTGTTTTCAAAGTGAATCTTTCTCAGGCCATCACTGGGAAGTCGGATGGAAATGCAAACCTCAAGTATTCAGCTTCCCACTGTCCCCAGGATTGTCCCAAGGCATCTTGCTTATGGGTTCGAGGGCTCTGAAGGACCCACTTGAAAACTACCAGGCCAAATGATCCTGTAAGTGTTCTAGCCTCCCAAAGGACCCTGGCAGCACCCTGAGCAACAAGGACAGCCTAGTCAGGAGCCTCACAAGGGGAACAAAGCCAGCCAACTCCAAAGCCCATTGGGCCTGGAAACAAAGCAGGGTACAGGGGCTGTGGACCAGGACCAATATCTCCCACCAAACTGTGACAACTTCCCCCACTGCCAGGCTAGATGGACCTGTTTCTTGACAAGCTCAAAGCTGTCCTGCTTCCTCTGCTAGCCAATGAAGACAGAAGAAACCATTGAAACAGCTTAGCCTGGGGATGGCCTAGGCAACAGCACTGCCCGTGTCCCAAGCATGGACCCATTACACAAGGCAGAGAGGCAGGAGAAAGACAAGGATATGCCCAGAACATGGCATCTCAGGAGATAAATAGATCAGTTGTGAGCCACAGGCCTGAACCACTGAGCAAGCTAAAGGGAGCACTCAAAGGAGCCCCCTTGATATAAAAGTGGAGGCCCAGGGGCCCAGAGAAGGAAGCACAATATATAATGTGACACAATATATAATGACAGAGCCCTGGAAGGCAACTCAGAGAACTTTCCATCTGTTTATAGAGGCTAACTTCAGCAGTGATTTCCCAGGGAAAAGCCCCTGGCTTGCAAACTCAGATGGAATAGTTAGTGGCAATGGGTGGTGACAAAGCAAAGTGTTTGTTTTGGTTTCCAAATCAACACTTGACAACCTTGTCCTCCTTATAGTTTCAGTGACCACATCTCCCACGTGGTAAAGAGCTGGTTGAGCCGAGAAGGAAGTCAATGAATAGTGAGCAGGGCCAGGGCTAGAGCACTGAAATCAAGAGCTCTAGTTAGGGCTGGCGTTTGCAAGGCACAGTTCATGGGCTACTGGTGGATGGCAACTAGATGATGTGCAGTGGTACATGGTCTAAGTTTTCAATCCAGTGGTTTCATAGGTGAGTGGATAAACAAAGTATGATCCATCCATCCAGTAGAATTTTATTCAGCAATGAAAGAGAACATCTCATACATACAGTAACATAGATGAGCCACCAAACATTATCCAAACCAGACACAAAAGACTATTCATATTGTGTGATTTCATTTATATACAACATCCAGGAAAGGCAAATCAATAGAAATATAGAACAAATCACCAGTTACTTGGGGTGGGGCAGAGCAATGCTGGAAATTGAACCAAGACTCATGTGTGCTAGGTAAATGCTCTGCCACTGAGCTACAGTCCCAGCCCAAACTCAGAAGTGGGGGGGGGAGGAAGGAGGGAGGGAGATAGCCATAACCTGCCTATATTAGGCCTCTCTAGTTCACTGCCTTTTCTGAGCTTATGTACTTCTAGGTAGTGAATTATTTACTATGATTATTTCTCACTGAATTTCAAGTCTGGGAAGACCACTGGAATTTATGCAGCCTAGGGATTTTTTTTAACTTTTTAAAAAAGTTGACTGTATGTCCATCCTCCTCTGAAAGAAAATGCTATGAGAAGCTCTATATACCAACCAATAAAAACAAAATGTTATGTGTATAAATTCATATTGCAGATTCAAATACTTAACAGTGGCCTATTCTAAATCTGATCAATATGATTGATGAGACTATTTCGATGCATTAACACTGAGCCTAGAGACTGGGGATGACAATTCCACATGCAGTTTAAATCCATCTCCAGTTTTGTCTACATAGCATAAAAAAGATTGTGTGGCGGTTGGGTGGGTGCTGGAATGAACTTTTATCACTCCAACCCTCTCTAGTCTGCTCTGTGGGAGGATTAAGAAGATAAAGGCAAGTACCAGAGGCTCACTGCTGTAATCTTAGCCAATAAAGAGGCTGAGGTCTGAGGAGGTTCAAAGCTAGCCTGGGGGGACAAACCTGAGAGAATTTCATCTCTAATTAACCTCCAAAAAGATGGAAGTGTAGCTATGGCTCCAAGAGGTAAGATGCCAGCTGTGAGCGAAAAAGCGAAGGGACAGCACTGAGGCCCTGAGTTCAAATGTGCATGCAGGCACACACGCACGAACACACACACACACACACACACACACACACACACACACACACACACACACACACACACACACACGGAGGGACTCGGGCCCAGCTTCCAGGGCACAGTTTAGGGAATGACAAGGATGTCCTGCTCAGTGCAAAGCTGTGGTTCCAAATGCAAGTGGCCAGGAACAGGAATTGTTTCAAGCAGCTAGCTTAGTAATATGGGAATCCTCTTCAAATAGAAGAGGAGAGAGATGCTTTAACTTGAAGCCAAATACTGAAAAATTAGCATGGTAGTGAAATAGCATTAAGAACTGAAAAATGAGTGAGAACATAATTATAGCTATCTTAATATATTAACGTACGTTTGTGTGTGCGCGCGCGCACAAACTGAGGCTTGAACTCAAGGCCTCCTGCTCTTAAGTGGCTTTTTTGCTTAAGGCTGGTATTCGACTATTTGAGCCATACCACTTCTGGCTTTTTGCTGGTTAACTGGAGATAAGAGTCTCACAGACTTTCCTGCCTGAGCTGGCTTCAAATCATGATCTTCAGATTTCAGCCTCCCATAGCCATGACATTTTTTAAAGAATCATTTTTATCAAGTATCTAAGGAACCTGTAAAGCATCACAGGAAAAGAAACACAGAGCCCAACCACCTTGCAGAGGTACAGAGGAATACAAAGCCCAGGGAAAGGAAAAACCCAACCTGAGCCTTAAATCACCTTCAGAAGAAGACAATCATTCTACCTCACAAACAATGGAGGAAAGGAAGGTGTGCACACTATTGCAGAAATGCGGGAGGAGAGATGCCTGCACCCCACCTGTCTCGGCACCCCACCTGTCTGTCTCCACAGCACCACCTCATTCCAGGCCAGCACTGACATCACACCCCACACCCTGGGTGCAACCTCCAAGGTCCATTGCTCAATGCCAGCCCATCTCCTTCTAAACCTGGGCCCAATCCTTCCCATCACCTTGGAAGCCAGGTCCCAAAAGCACCCACACAACTAAACAAACAAACACAAGCTTGTGGCATGACTACACCATCAAGAGGAGCAGACAGGAGGGCCTGGCCCACCCCTCCCTGAGTCTCACCATTTTAAGCAAGTGTCTCCTGCTCTATCCACGGGACTGAGGCCTGCATGGGAGTTGGGGGACTTGGAGACACATCTGCACCCTGCTAGCTTGACAAGGTGTCTATGAACTTGACCACTTTATTTACACCTTGGAATGAAGGAAGCACTTCGGCTGGAGTTTACTATCCCCGTTTCTCTGATGAGGAAACATGCTCTCCAATGGTTTGCCAATCTCCTCGGCATTTAAATTATCCCCTGTACACACTGGCCCGTTCAGTGTGAAAGAAGACTCAAGCCCAGTACTCAGTGGTGCTGTGCAGGGGATGGGAAGAACAGTGCAGCTCAATTCAGAGCTCTGATACCTGAGACCACAACCCAGGTCCAGACAGCCTCTCCCCTAGCCAGGCCAGACACACTCTTCTCTCATCAGAAAGCTGAGCTGGCAGCATCAGCCAGGCCAGGCCGAAGGTGGTAGGAAGCAATATCGTTTCCCAGCCAGGGAATCTGGGCTAGAGAAGAACACACTAGCCAGGCTAGCACGCAGTCTGCCAGCTCCCTCCTGCTCCAGCCAGAGCCATTGATCTGGATGCATCCGATAGCCATTCTTCCAACTCAAGGTTATCTTCATCTTACCACTGAGTTTATGGGAGTCAGTCAACCATTAGACTGGAGGAGTATGGAGGAGATGAGGCCTGTGGCCAGTCTAATGGAGTCTGCTCCTGCAGCCCAGGAAGCTAGACCTTACAGAACTGGAGCCACACAGCCAGCCCTGGCCCAATGACGGGGGAAGGGAGGGAAGCAGGGACAGAGCCATCTGTCTTCACACACAGGATAAATTTAATTCAAGGAATAAAAGGGAAGTAGGTGGGTTATCAGTTTTCCTCTCATTCATGAAAGGAGGAAAGCCTATCTCCTACATCTTTGGGGGTTAAAGTCACAGGTTCAAATCCTGCCTTTGCCATGCATTAGCCAAACTACTGAGAGCAAGCCTCTTCGCATCTTAGCGCCTCAGTTTCCTCATCTGCAAAATGGGGCTGAGACTGTCTTTCACTGCATTATCGCAAGAATGAAATGAGATCACAAGTCAGGTTATCCTTGGCCCACACCTGTAATCCTAGACACTCAGGAGGCTGAGATCTGAGGATCATGGTTCAAAGGCGCTCTGGGCAGAGAAGTCTGTGAGACTCTCATCTCCCATTAACCACCAAACAGTAGAGCTGTGGCTCAAGCGTAGATACGGCGCCAGGAACAGTGCCCAGGCCCTGAGTTCAAGTCCCAGTACCGGCACAGACACTCACAAAAACTGAGATCACACACGACGTCGCAGGAATTACGTCCATAGGAAACACTGTGCCTGACCGGGTGACGGCACGGCGGTACCCGGGCTGTCGTCAGAGCCCGCCCCCATTCTTGGATCCAGATAACTGAGTCTTCCTCGCACGCGCGTAAGGAGGGAGGTCGGCCCGCAGCTCCCAGCTGCCAGGCCCAGCTGCCCACCCCGCCCCGCCGCCGGCACGCATTCCGCGGCTGCCGGGGACCCGGATACCGTTCCCCGCGATCGCGGGGGGGGGGGGGGCACTCACCTCCGTTTGTACTCGTCGCGCTCCCGCTTCACCTTGGCCAGCACGTTGTAGAGCGCGCGGATCTCGGGGGTGATGGTGTCGATCTGCACGCCCACGCCGTCGGGGTGCACCCACGACACGCCGGGGCCCTGCACCGTCTCCACGCCGCCGCCGCCCGTGCGCCGCACCTGCGTGTAGCTCCAGATGGTCCCGGGCAGGCGGCCGTAGTGCTGCGGGTGCGAGCCGCCGCCGGGGGGCAGGCCGCCCAGGGCCACGGTGTTGGCGTTGGCGCCCAGCGCCGCGCCGCCGCCGCCGGCCGCGGGCGGCCGCAGCAGCTCGGGCCCGGTCTGCACGGCCTGCTCCCGGGAGAAGGTCTTGTAGCGCAGCCGCCGCTCGCGCTCGCTCTGCTGCTGCTCCAGCTGCTTCTCCAGCAGCCGGTTGCGCCGCTCCAGCTCGTGCACCTTGGCCAGGAAGCAGCGGAAGCGCACGTTGAGCCCCTTCAGGAGGTGGATGTTGGAGCCTAGGTCGTCCCGCAGCGCCGCGGTGACCGGCGACGGCCCCGGCCCGGCCCCGCCGCCGCCGCCGCCCCCGCCGCCGCCGCCCGGGCAGCCCCCGCCGCCGCCGCCCGGCGGGCAGCCGAAGGCCAAGGCCATCTCCCCGAACAGCAGCGAGTTCACCATGCGCCGGCTGCGTGGCTCAGGGCCTCGGGCCCGCGGCTCCAGGTGCGGCTCCAGCTCCGGGCAGGGCTCCCGGCGCGGCCGGGCCAAGGCGGGCGCGGGCTCCAGCGCGGCCGGCCAGGCGATGCCAGATGCGCGCCAGATGCGGCCTCCGCAGCGACGGCGGGCCGGGCTGCGGCCGGATGTGGGCGCCGAGGCGCGGGCTGAGACGCGACGGGCCCCGGGGACGCGGCGGAGGCTGCGCGAGGCCGGCGAGGATCCCGGGTCCCACCGCCCCGGCTGTCAGAGACGCTGTGGAGCGGCCGCGGCAGCCGCGCGCGGACGACTCCCCGAGGACCCCGCCCACTCTGCGGCGGGCCCCGCCCCTGTCGTGGCCGCGCCTACTCCTCCACCCTCTGCGGCGGTTCCCCGAAACGGAGGCTCCGCCCCCCGGGCCTGCAGCGTCAGGCCACGCCTACACTCCTGAGACTCCACCCATCCCGGGCACCACCGTTCTCTCATTGGCCTGGACCGGCTGCTGCAGCTCTGGCTCCGCCCAGCTGCCCAGCTGTACCACGCCTCCCCAGTGTGCGGTGCCCAGAGTCTGCCCTGAAAGACGCGTACCGCAGAGCTGCACCAGGGACGCTTTCTCGGGGACCGCGGCAGAGCCAGCCCGGCCTCTTAAAGGAGCCGGCAGCTTCGGCCCTGACCACTTCTCCCCCGTCGCTGCGGGGTCCCCGCTTCTTCTGGTAATCAGGCTCCCTTGTCCCAATTTCCCCCTACCCCAGATTCCCATTGATCACGGCCTGGATGGGCCGAGGGACCCCAGAATCAAGAGGTACCACCGGGGCTGGGAAGGTGGCTCAGTGGTAGAGTGCTTGCTTTGCATGCATGAGGCCCTGAGTTCGATTCCTCAGCACTACAAAAGCAGAAAAAAACTGGAAATGGCGCTGTGGCTCAAGTGGTAGAGTGCCAGCCTTGATCTGAAGAGCTGAGGGACAGCCCCCAGACCCAGAGTTCAGGCCCTACGACCGCACCTCGGGCTCTCATCCCCACTCCAGCCGGGGCAGACCTAGAGACTCCTTTCTCTGAATAAAAGATCGCCCCCACCCGGTCACCTGGCTCCTGAGATTTGATTAAGGCTCTAGGCCTCGAGGGCCCAGGGAAAATCAAGACCCTGGATCTGGCTTCCTGTGAGCTGCTGTGGCTTTCCACTCTCAGGACAGCCTGCCCATCACCACACCACACACAGGCTGACACAGCTGATCCTAAAACTGGGGCTCCATTTCATCCATGCATTCATTCACTTACTCATTCGTTTCCACACCTACCACCCTAAAGGCCAAGTAAGTCCTCCAGCAGTCTTGTGGTATATCCTGAACCAGTGTAGCATATACCTACAAGCGTCTTCACATCCATTTTACAGTGGCTGAGACCTGAGTAAGGTAACCATCTACCTCAATATGTATGCTTGGGGGGGGGGGGGGGTGTCAGTTGTGAGGCTTGAACTCAGGGCCTGGGTGCTGTCCCTGAGCCTCATGGTGCTCAAGGGGACTTTTCTGCCCCGGCCAGCTTTGAACCACAATCCTCAGATCTCAGCCTCCTGAGTATCTGGGCACGAGCCACTGGCCTGTTTTGTTAGTTTTGTCATTGTGCCAGTACTAGGGCTTGAACTCCAGGTCTGGGCACTGTCCCTTGGCTCTTTTTTGCTCAAGGCTGGTGCTCTACCACACAAGCCACAGCTCACTTCTGGCTTTTTTTTTTTTTTTTTGCTGGTTCATTGGAAATAGTCTTACAGACTTTTCTGCCCAAGCTGCCTTTGAACTGTGATAATTTTTCAGGTCTCAAGCTCCTGAGTAGCTAAGATTACAGGTGTGAGCCACTGATATCCAGCCTCACTTCTGCTTTTTTTTTTTTTTTGGTTGGTCTCGTGGGGCTTGAACTTTGGGCTTGAGCGCTGTCCCTGTGCTCTTCAACTCAAGACAAGTGCTCTACTGCTTGAGCCACAGCGCCACTTCCGGTTTTCTAGTGGCTTAAGCTAAGAGTCTCTAGGAGTTTCTTGCCCAGGCTGGTTTTAAACTGTGATCCTCAGATCTCAGCCTGCTGAGTAGCTAGGATTACAGGCGTGAGCCACCGGCACCTGGCTTTCATTTCTGCTTTTGATCTCCACCACAAACCTCAGCAGAAAGAGAATTCCACCTTTGAGTGGCTGTGGGTTGCTCACTGTGCACTTAACCAGATATGTGGCATGTTCTAGATTCTTTTGGCTACCTTTTTTTCCATTGGCATTTAATTTTTGTGTGACTAACTTGTGTGTTTGTCTTGTCTCTTTGTATGTAAGCTTGAGGATGGGTTTCCTGTCTAGCAGGGACAATATCTTGGTGTTCCTGGTGACAAGAGACACAAAGGAGACTGGGACTTGCTCTGGGGTGGTGTTGTGGCTGGGGTTTCGACCTGATGTATTTTCTATTTGGCCACAACTGCAGTATTTCCTTCCCTACATTTGCTCCCTGTCAATGTAGACTCACATTGAAGCTATGAAACTCACTAGTCTGGGAAGCTCTCTCTCCCTCCCTCTTCCCCTCCCTCTCCCTTTCTCTCTCTCCCTCTCCCTCCCCCTCTCTCTCTTTCTCCTAACATAATCTAGTCATTTAACTCTTTTATCTTTCCATTTTGATGGGAAGAATAGAAGAATCAAAAACCCTCTGCCTTGAAGCACGATTTTTGGACTCCTCCCCAAAGGGCGTGAGGATAAAATTTGAGGATCTGAGACCCTGGAATGGACAGAAGTTCTATCTTTATGTCCACTCATTTCTGAGCTGTTGAGCATTTTCTTTGATGAATGCAGGCATTAAGTAGAAGTCTCTGTGATTCTATCACTGATGGAAATCACAGATATTTCTATACCTGTAGATAGAATTTAAGGCATGGTGGTTCTGAAAGTCCTATAAGAAACACTACTCTCTCTCTCTCTCTCTCTCTCTCTCTCTCTCTATATATATATATATATATATATATACATACAGATATAGCTATAGAGATCAAGAGGATGCGGATGGCTTTCTCCTGTAATCCTAGCTACTCAGGAAACTAAGATTTCAGAACTAAATAAAGCCAGATCAGGAAAAAAAAAGTCTATAAGGTTCTTATCTCCAATTAACCAGCAAAAATCTGGAAGTGGAGGGCTGGTTCAAGTGGTAGAGCACCCACTTTGAGTGAAAAAAGCTAAATGAGCGAGTAAAGCCAAGTCCCAGCTCCAGTACCACCACATACACACACAAAATTAAATATTAGGAAATCAAACTCAGGGCCTCACCCATGCTAGACAATCACTCTACTCCTGCCAACCCACATACCCAACTCGAAACCTTTTTTAGTTAATTACTAATAAAGATGCATATTTGTTACTGTAGCATATGTGTAATATATCTGATATTATGTTACTATCACCATTTTTCTTTGACCTATTCATTGTAATTACATTGTTTCAATTGCATGCGTTTGAGTTTCACCCTAATCCATTTTTACGTATGTGTTAGTACTGAGGCTTGAATTTAGAGCCTGAGTGTTATCCCTTTGCTTTTTCATTCAAGGCTAGCACTCTACCACTTGAACCACTTCCTCTACTTCCAACTTTTTGGTAGTTAATTGAAGATAAGAGTCTTATGGGGGGCTGGGAAGGTGGCTCAGTGGTAGAGCGCTTGCCTTGCATGCGTGAGGCCCTGGGTTCAATTCCTCAGCACCACATAAACAAAAAGAAAAAAAGCCAGAAGTGGCGCTGTGGCTCAAGTGGTAAAGCGCTAGCCTTGAGCTGAAGAGCTGAGGGACAGCGCCCAGGCCCAGAGTTCAGGCCCCACGACCACCCAAAAAAAAAAAAAAAAAAAAGAGTCTTATGGACTTATGAACTTCCTTGCCCGAGCTGGCTTCGAACCATGACTCTCAGATTTCAGCCTCCTGAATAGTAGGATTACAGGATTACAGTAGGAGGCACTAGCACCTGACTCCTAAAGCATTGTGTGTGGAGGGCTTGAACTCAAGGTCTGAACACTATCCTTGAGCTTTTGTGTTCAAGGTTAGCACTCTACCACTTGAGCCACAGCTCCGCTTCCAGCATCTTTTTGATAGTTTATTGGAGATAAGAGTCTCACAGACGGGACTGGGAAGGTGACTCAGTGGTAGAGCGCTTGCCTTGCATACACAAGGCCTTGGGTTCAATTCCTCAGCACCACATAAGCAGAAAAAGCTGGAAGTAGTGCTGTGGCTCAAGTGGTAGAGCAGTAGCCTTGAGCTGAAGAGCTGAGGGGACAGCGCCCAGGCCCAGAGTTCAGGCCCCACAACTGACAAAAAAAAAAAGTCTCACAGACTTTCCTGCCAAGACTAGCTTTGAACTGCAATCCTCAGATCTCAGCCTCCTGAATAGCAAGGATTATAGGTAGGATCCACTGGTGTCCATCACTTTAAAAAAAAATAAAAAATGACTCCAAAGAGGGTTTATGGTTTTCAGCCAACTACCTAGAAATCCATGGGGAAGAAAGGGTTCAGAAGCCATGCCTGGGCTGGGAAGGTGGCTTAGTGGTAGAGTGCTTGCCTAGCATGCATGAAGCCCTGGGTTCAATTCCTCAGTACCACAGAAATAGAAAAAAGCCAGAAGTAGCACTGTGACTCAAGTGATAGAGCACTAACCTGGAGCACAGAGAGGCTCAGGCTCAGGGACAGTGCCCAGGCCTTGAGTTTAAGCCCCAGGACCAGCAACAAAAGAAGCCACACCTTGGGAGTGGCTCCTTGTACCCTCTCCCAGGAAAGATCTTCCTTCCACCCTGCCCTGAAGTTGGGGTGTAAAACCCTCCTAGGAGGGCAGCCTTGTCCTGAGTATTGGGAGACTCAGACATTCCTGACCATGGACTGCACATGTGCTTGGTCGCCAGTCCTTCCCCAAGGCTGAGGAAAGTGCTGGGAGACAACGTCTAGAGATCTTGCGACCATCCCGAGGTGGCCCTGGGGCTCAGGGAGAAGTGGCTGAGCAG